CGATGCAGGGGACACGGGTTCGTGCCCCGGTCCGGGAAGATCCCTCATGCCGCGGAGTGGCTGGGCCCGTGAGCCGTGGCCGCTGAGCCTGCGCGTCCGGAGCCTGTGCTCCGCAACGGGAGAGGCCACAACAGTGAGAGGCCCACGTAAAAAAACAAACAAACAAACCAAAAAACCTTAACAATCACGTATTTCTGCTCACTGAATGGTAGGCACTGCTTCCTTTTGCTTGACATACATGAAAGCAAAGAGACGTTTTTGTTCTGAAGCTGGCTTTCTTGACAATATTAACAAACTGTTCACAACAGATGTAAAAATATATGCAATAAATAACTAGAAGATTGTAAAGAATTGTTTAAAAGATTTAATGTAACAAGTAAAAGAGTATAAATCAGGAATTACTTGATTTAGGATTAGGGTAGAGGGTTAACTATAGCTCCACAGTCGTTTGTTTTAAAGTATCACATATTAAGTATGTGACACTAATTCCTTCAAGTGGATATAATTTGTAACTTTATTAAATTCACACTAAATTATACTGTTAAATTATCTTTGACCTAAAATAAGTTATGCTGTAGGTAAGTGAAACTGCCAATAAAAATCTGAAAATAGGGCCTATATATTGCTATACAGATGATTGTATTTGTTTAAGCCAGTTAAGCACCTGTAAAACAGGTAAGTGTACCCAAGTTTCATAGCTTTTGGGGGAGGGGGGCTGTTAATGATTTGATTAACATCAAGATACTACTAACTTCTTGCATTAAAATTAGTACAGGAAATTAGTGTGCTCAGGGCAAGGACTTTTAACCTTTCTTCATGTTCCATGGATCTCTTTGGCAGCCTGGTTAAACCTCTTCTCAGACTAATGTTTTTTAGTAACTAAAGTAATATTAACACTGGATTTACAATATTGACACTGCATTATAAATGTCAATGAAGAAACTAATCAACAGTCTAAGAAAGAAATGGAAAATCTCATTCAAGTCAAACTGAGGATTATAACCCAGGAGACAGTCTCTCAGAGAGCTCTGAGAACTGTTCCAAAGAGTGAAGAGGGGAGGTCAGTATATACGTGATTCTGGGGAAGCCGGTATGTGCAATGAAGCACACAGCTTGGTAGAAGTTTGTTGCTAGTCACGAGGAACAGATATCTTAGTTAATGGTTTTTTTAAATGTTTTTCTAAGTATGGGAAGATGTAAGAATCCAGGTTCATAAAATTTTTTCTTCTGAACATATCTAACTCTCTGAAGGCCAGTTCTGTCAGTTTTCCCAGAGCACAGAGTGCCTTATCCTATCTTCACCCTTAATTCCTCTTAGGGTGCACTGTAGGTCAGGGACTGCAGTGGCTAATGAAATGATTCGTGTAGAACTAGATGGTGGGCAACATTCTTTGTTTTCCAATCCCTTCCCTTACAGTCTTAATTTCAGCCAAGGTCTGGGAGGCATTTCGTGACCAGTTTGTCCCAAGGTGCTAGGAATGCTCATCCTCAGGTTAGGCAAGGATTTCCTTGGTAGGCCACTCAGTGTGTTGTTACTAAACTAGGCCCTGTTAACCATAGGCAAAAGCTTCTGTACCACCTGTTTTATTAGTCTGTTATGGTCCAGGACATGGTCCCCTCTTGTTGCTTCTTCCCATATCTACAGTTACACTATTACAATCATTGATCTTACGGAACTGTATATTTGGCCAATCATTTCAAGTCGCATAATCATCATTAATTTTATCTGAGGCTCGTCACACATTTGGTAATGCAAGAAACAATAATCTAGTAAAAGAGGCAGAATATTTACTAACATAGCCAGTAACATTAATAGGTCTTACGTAAGTATTTAAGCTAAGAACTTCCATTAGGTGCGGCCCAGGATCTCCCCAGGTCCTCTGACCAGTCTGTTATGCACCAATCCCTATCTTTAAGGGAAATGATATATTGGCATTGTACATAAAGTTCATTAAAGATGTCTGTCCATACAAGGCCAGTGGTGAGTCATCGTGACCTCTTACAGGACTGAGAAAGGAATGATATCTTCTAAGGAGTTACAACATGGCTGGTGCCAGAAGGAGAAAAATTGATCTTTATGTTGAGCAGGTATTTCTGCCACCGGAGAGGTCTCGTTAACACATAATGCAGATGCACAGTGCACACTAGAGGGGAGCGAGGAAGCCCAGATGGAGGGAGAAAATATTTACATTTAAATTTTTCTTGTCTTGCCTTAAAATATGAATTTTTATTTCATCATAAGTGAGAAAGTAAAATTAGCTTGGACTGTAAAAATATGCCCTGCCACCCAGGAGCCTGGAATAAAAGGCTGATAAAAATCAGTTGCAAAATTAACATAAAACAATATTTCTCCCCAAACAGAGCTGTAAAGTGTCATAACCATCTCCTGCTTTCTGACTCACTGAGAAAATTTGTTTTCTAAAGTTAGAGACTTAGAGTTTTTGCTGTTGGAAATTACATCAGTAAGAATGAAATATCTCACCTTTACCTGGAGATTCTCAGCCCCTTGACACAGAGAAGCAGCTTCAATTTACAACCTTTACAACCCAGGTGCAGAGCTCGCAATAAGGGGTTTCTAGACACAAAAATTCCATCTCTATTTAAACTTCGTAGTATCCAAGGAAATAGGACCCCAGGTCCACTTTGTCATCTAAGCTGCACATTGACTCTGTGTGTTGACACACAGCCTTGCTTTGAGCCTACCAAAATACTGCTCACTTAAATTTCACTTAAACTCCACCCTACCTCAGAATCCTATAACTCTATATTTTCCTTTGCTTGGGGAGATGCCACGCAGTTCCTCTGTGTGCAACCTCCCACGATGCAATGGTTAATAAACCTGATTTTACTAGACTACAGTATTGTTCCACTATTGTGGTCTTAGGCTAATTGGAAAAGCCTGCAAAATAAACCAATTGGATTAAAATTCAGTCTATTTGTCGGGTCCTCAAAGTTTAAAAACGTCGGACTAGAGAGAAGTAGCAAGTATGATGAGGGATCAGGCAACAATAGTCTGGAAGCATCCTTAGCCTGGGCTGCTAGGGTCATAGCCAAGAAGAACAGAAGGCAGAGCAGAGCAGAGCAGATGGGAGCTACTGAGAGACTGAGTCAGGGTTAATATGAGGAAACGCTTTGTTAACCATTAGAGCTCCTTGCACACAGAGTGGAAAGCCTGCACACCCAAGAGGGGAGATCCCCACCACCAACCAAGGTCGATCTGAGCTTGGTTTTGTAGCTCTGGGAAATCCTGAGCAGGAGAGAAAGTTCCACTGTGGCCCTCTAGTGTCTGGTCTCCTTATCTGTAAAATCTATAATGTTTCTTCCGGGAACTGCTTCTTTTAGCTTTAAGCCATGCTCAAGTGCGGGCCCACTCAGAATCTTACAGGTGCCCTTCAGATCAAGCAGTACCCGTCCGCTGTCACCGCTAGGATGAGTTTCCCTCTCATCTTCGGTGGGTCTTTGGAGAAGCCAACTTAGGTTTGGTGCTTCTGAACTGGGTGGTGGTATACGGAGGAGGGCTAGGGTTGGAGCCATCTAAATGCTTAGGTAAGTGAGGGTTAAAATGAAGCCCTGCCTAAACCTCCCCAGAATCCCCAACCTGCTGCAGCAAGTGGGCAAAGGCGTGTGTGCGTAGAGGGGAACAATTCCCATCGACCCTCAGAAGGCCTGGCAGGCGTGGGGAAGCCAATGACGCGCCCACCTCTCACTGTGCCCTCACCCCCGACGCCCCACCCACCGGGTCACAACAGTCCCCTCTGGCCACTGCAGTCACCCTGCTCATTCCAACATACTTACAAATACTATGCTGGTTCACTCACGTTGTGGGTGACGTGAAAGCGTTGGAAAGCCCTGGTCTGAGTCCTGCAGGCCGCCCTCTTGTGAAACGAGTGACTGTAAGTGACCATAAGTGACTATAAATGATTATGTGTCTTTAATGCACTATTTATTTATTTTTGGCCGCATTGGGTCTTCGTTGCTGTGCGCGGGCTTTCTCTAGTTGCTGTGAGCGGGGGCTTCTCTTCCTTGCACTGCTCGGGCTTCTCATTGCGGTGGCTTCTCTTGTTGTGGAGCACTAGGCGCGCAGGCTTCAGTAGTTGTGGCTCACGGGCTCTAGAGTGCAGGCTCAGTAGTTGTGGCCCACGGGCTTAGTTGCTCTGCAGCATGTGGGATCTTCCCGGACCAGGGCTCGAACCCTTGTCCCCTGCATTGGCAGGCGGATTCTTAACCACTGAGCCACCAGGGAAGTCCATAATGCACTATTTATAGACATACGTCAACCTCTATGAGAGCAGGGCAGGCCATGAGTGCCTCATCAGAAGCAGGGCAGCTGATCCCATTGTTTTCTTCAGGTGGTTGAAGGGTCAAAGAAGACAGAGTAATGCAGAATCTCCTTCGCAACTGAAACGGTAGATCCAACAAGGATGAACATGGGGTGGGGGGCGGGCGGGGGAGGAGGCTCCA